GCCGGTCCTAAACTAAACTGTGTCTGAATACATAATGCATTTTAGGAGGCTTAAAGGGTAACTGGTATATTAACTGGTAAACCACACAATAACACAAACAAACTACCTGACCGAGGCTGCAGTAGACGAGCAACTCCTGTGTTCTGCGAGGTAAAATTACCGTTTTTACCGAAAGGAGGCTAGTGGCTTTGATGAGAGTGATATAGTGACCGTTTCAAGATAAAGAAAAGGGATGTTATTTTTTTAAAAAGGTCCATCTTTGTAGGGATACTTGTAATAACAAGCACATCTGTGGGGAAAACAAGCACTTTAGTGGATTACTTTGCCGCCCAGTTTCGCTGCTGCTGACTGCAGCACACTCGCTCAATACTGGACCATTTTCAGAAAATGTTGTTCCAGTTAGTCAGAAACACTTTACGTTACGTCCAAAACTAATCATCAGTACTGTTATTTTTATAAAAATACACACGTGTCTATTCATTCTGCTGTGAAGGGAGCTGCTGCAAAACTGTCTTCTTACCTCTCTGTTATCTTCTCCCGGAGGAGGCGGCACTCTCTGTTTCTGGGTCGGCAACATGCTCACACCAGGAGGCAGCGGCCCGCGAGGATCCAAACCTGCAAAAACAAGACCTTCTCAGGTGATGAAAGTTTGTTATTTTAGGAGTGTGTTACAAAAAGTCAGCTCCAAGACCTCAAGCCCTCCCCTGGAGTACAGATGAAACCAGTCTTTTTTGCACTGATCTATTTCTGGAAATATCTGTTTGTTTTTTTTTTAACTGAAGAATGTTATTGTGATAGAAACATATTATGGGTGAGGTAATGTGCAGCAGGAATCAGAACATAATCACTCCATCACCAACATACCTCTCATTGCTGGGGGCATGGCTCTGCCCCCCCCCATCTTAACCATCTCCTGACGCTCCTGTTCCAGCAGCACTGCAGCCTGAAATACAGAAGGAAGGAGATGGGAATTAAAGACATAGTTGAAATAGAGGCATAGAATCAAAGGTGTAAGAAGAAGAAAGGAAGAGAACACGACGGGGGTAGAAAAGGATGCCCTAAGTGTTATGAAGGGATTATTTTCAAACTTTTAAGTAGTTTGGAAATGTACATAAACCCTTTGATTTTAGTGACACATACGTACACACAACAAGAACGTTTCCTAAGATTGTTTGTCACATTTTTTTTAACCAATGATTCGGTTATAGCTAAATGACTAAATACTAAATATTTAATGGGTGGACTATCTTCATGCTCTCACCCTCTTCTGCTGCTCCAGAAGATCATGTTCATCCATGCCACGGGACTCACCCTGTGATACACAGAAACAATGACTGAGCAACAGTCAAACTAAAAGTAACTCAACAGTATTTTTCTGTCAAGTCCTGCAATTTTAGTTAAAAAAAGCAGAAAGTTCTTGTTGCGTTGCTCTAAAGTAACTATTTAGCTGGCAGCTCCACTTTTACGTGATGTTGCTTTGGTTTCTGTCTATCCAGAGCAGATATTTTGTTTTCTATCATTTGTGTTTGTTGCTTGAGGGAAAGATTAAGATTTAAGGACCTGTTCTTTGGTTTGGTTTTCTTAATCTTACCATCTCACAGGCTGATGGCATCTCAGCGCTGTGTTTTAAAGACAAAACTAAATGCAACGACCGGATCACACTTGTCTACTTCCCAAGTAAACTTGTGGTCCAGTCGCGCTCACCTGCTGCTTGGCTCTCTCCTCCTGCTGCAGCACCATGGCTGCTCTCTGCTGGGCCATCTTCAGCTGATCGTCCTGCGACAGGCTTTGAGGGGACAACCCTGGGGGCTCCATGCCCATGTGAATGCCGGGCGGAGGGGGCCCCCCAGGCATCATGCTCATAGCCTGGAGCATGCCTATACCAGGGGGCATGGGTGGCATGGGCATCGGGGGCATGGGAGGCATACCTGGAATCTGGAGAGGGGAGGAGAATGGGAGGTATGAGGGTGTGACGTGAACTCACATGAAGACTGTGTGTGAAGCTTCATTCTTTTATTCATATCACATGAATTTAATGTTTCCTTCGTGTGCCACTAATATCTAATATCTACTGTAAAGTTGTGTAGTACAACAATTTTATCATGTAGTGAGGGAGAAATAAAGCCGTCTCTTTGTTGGTGAATGAAATTTTGTTTAACAGCAACTGTGTGATTACCAGATATTTTCATTCTACATCTTGCTATTTGTCAAATACCAGTGCCTTTAAATACAATTATGTTTAGTTAAGATGCTGACACGAGACGCCAAAATTGTACTCACACTCAAACTATATTTCCACGTATAACCAAATACAATTAAAACATATGAAAGGCTTCACACATTTTCCATTTACCATTGATTTGTCATCACTAGGTTTGCTGAAGAGGATCCCAGTCTGCAAAGAAAAAAAACACACATAAATGAGTGAGTGTGCTTTGTGCTAAAGATTTTTTTGTAACAGCATCTGAGATGTTGGTTGTGCATTTTTATTTCACTACATTAGGAAGTTAGAGGTTTGGAGAGTTGACACTAGCCTCTCTTCATAATGAAGTTTGAAGTATGCCCAAGCAAGGCTGCAATTATAGGTGTATAACACAGCATCTGGCCTGAGAACACCTTGAGATCCCCCAGAAGGTACTGGAAAACGTTGCTGGCAAGAGGGACACCTGGAATACCCTACTTAGCCTGTTACCACTGTGACCCGACCCCGGTTAAGCGGAAGATATTGGTTGGATTGATGAATGGATGAGCAAGGCACAACTTTTCCCCTATCTAGTCATGTGGTCAACAATACTGTGCTTGAAGCAGACTGTCCGCTCATGAAAATGTTTTTTCTTAGCTACATGTCAACGCTAACACGTACAAACACTCAAGACACCCAAAATGAATACATGGAAATCGATATTACATGGTTAAAACTAAATGCACTGAATAGTTACATTTACCTGTATCATGTAGCCCTTCACTCTGTCTATCAGCTCCTCTCTGGGACCTGAAGAAAGACGAAAAACTTAAATCAAGGAAGAAATGTAGATTCTTCTATTAACAACAGTCATGATATAACATCGCACTTACAAGCCTATGGATGTTCGCTGCGTTTGTCACACTAGTTAAGCTCGTCAACACTGAGCTCCCAGAGATGTTAGCTAACGTTAACTCTGACTAAGTGCTCACATTGACGTTACCCTTCCTATTTACCTACACAATCACATACGTGTTGCTGCTGCTTTCAACACGTTGTAAAAGGAAAAATGTTTGCATAAGTAGATAGTGAATGTGCATTTCAAAGAGTATAAACACACCACAGGCCTAGCTTTAGCTTATTGCAACGGAAGAGCTGCGTTTTGCTAGCTAGCGTTAGCAGCTCACTAGCCACCGTTAGCTAAACACAGCCGTTCTTCCAGGGGGTTCTTCGTCTTTCCCGGGTTTTTCTTACCCATCGTGGGCGCCCCAAACTCCGCCAGCTTGGTCTGAAGCTCATGATGGGTCCATGTGTTCAACGCCGCAATAGCAGTCCCTAAATCGGACGGCAGGGAGTCGGTGCCCGGTGGTCCGTCGGATGCCATGTTGAGTTTCTCTCAATGAAACAACAGCGGCAACGGAAGACACGCGAGCGGCGCAGAACAGGGCTACTGCAAAGCATGACGGGAAGTGTACACTGCCGCACTCCCTGCTGGGACATGAAGTCCGAAAGGGGGAACACACGCATTCACTAATTACAGCCTCTAGATGTCAGTGTTGACACCTTGAATCTTGCTCGACATCCTGATCACGCTTCTTTATAAGTTGAAAAACAATGAGTACAACATACAAAACATTGAACTTCATCAAAATAATAGACTATTTTAAAACCAGTGTTGCTCAAAAACCTCAAAACAAAACCTGTAAATTTTCCTTTAGATTTCTGTTTTTGGATCTATGATTAATGTGAAGCCAGCTCCCCCCGTGTTCCTGCGACAATTATTATTAATGTCATTATTGCCATCATCATTATTATTATTATATTTTTTAAATTGATATTTTTATTATGACAACTACCATTACAAGGAGCATCACACAAAAATCTGGGCCCTGTACATAAGCATACTCTATCGGCCCCTGCCCTGTATACTCAGTTCCCCCCAAGTCCAAAAACACTGACCATTACTATCATTTTATATCTCTACGTTGAACTTGCATTGTGCTACTCCCCTCCCCTCTCTCTCTTAAACCACTCAGACCATACTTTTTGCTAGAAGTTTTTTGCCTGTTTAAAGAGAGTTTTTCCCAACAAGTGTTTGCTCATGGTGGAAACTGTTGGGTCTTGGTAAATATTAGTACTTTTACAAAGAGTACGGCCTAGACCTGCTCTAGCCTACATGAAAGTGCAATAACGTCTGTCATAATTTGGCACTATATAAATACAATAATAAATGTAGGTATCCAACCTAAAATCTATTCATCCATTGTAGGTAAAAGTCCTGCATTCAAACGTTGCCTTAAGTAAAAGAGGTATTTTAGTTTAGTTAGTCGTTTAAGACTGTAGGCCTATGGTATTTAATTTGGTGATGGTGGCACTGATACAAACTAAAATAATAATAATAAAATATTAATTTGAAAGCTGTATCACTCAAATAAATGTTGTGGAGTAGTAAGAGTAAAACTTTTCACTGAAATTAAGTTTAAAGTAGTTGGAGAAAAAAAGTAAAGTAAGTTCAAAATTACAGTCCAGCATTAAAAAAAGTTTTGACACATTCACTTCCACCAAGAAGCACAATATTATAGAAACACGTGTTGTTTTATTGTTAACAATGTATCTAATGCCACAATAATTCCCTACAATGTACATAAATTTAATCTAAATAAATGTAATTGCTATTCCAAGCAGGGCGTGCTCTAAAGACAACTGTACATGAAAGCATAGTGTACAACAGAGCCCTCCCTCTCAGTGTACTGTGGTTCTGCGCAGACGCACTGTGAAGGGGGCGCATCCATAAATCAGAGGAGAGGCAGCAGGGCGTTTCTAAATAATAAGCGCCGACGGGGAGGGCGGGGGTGAAACTACACTAAACATGGAAGGGAAAAAAAGTCAGGCTGCATATTGAAAGAGTCAAGCTGCATATTGAATGTCCAAATAACTGCCTTTTGTTTTGCTTTTTAAGGAAACACAGCAAGGTAAATATAACATTCCTTCATCAACACTGGTTTTACTTTACAGTTGGTGTCGCGCTGCTGGAAGATATGTATCTTACAAGGCTTTTAACATCCTAGCCTGAACTTTTTTTTTTTCATGATGAAGAGAGACTGAAGTTTGTGAGCCATTGCGTTGCGAAAATTGAAACCAGTCGTGTAAACTAAACTCCTCGCAATCACACTGTGTCTCTTGCAACTTCCACGATACCATAAAAATCATGAGGTCAGCTCAGTGTTTCGCGAGTTGTTTGTGCGAAATCTCTTGTTGTGATCGCCTGCATTTCTTCCTGCTCAGTGTGTACGGGTGCTGTCTTTGATGAGGGTTAGGTGAGACGGGGTCTCCCAGCTGATCGTGTTGCTCAGCTTGAGAAAGTTGCATGTATCGCCTCTCAGGGACACTCAATGCACACTCACCATCAGGACTAGTGGCTTATCTGTGTGAGCCATATGTCCATCTAAAACTTTTCAAACATCGTTAAAACTCCCAGAGTCAGCATTTGTTTTGCCCGCTGGACACTGTGCGCGTCTAGTTTCTCTGCTGGCGCATTCTTTTCTTTTATTAAAGCAAATACTTTGGCTATTTAGTTTCACAGTGTTTGGAATATGAGCCCTGCTGCATTCAGAAATGCACCAGAGGTCGGAATGCTTACTCATAGCACATAACACCGGACCCCACACACCCACAGGCAGTACTTAGGAACCAGTATGTGTTTAAGCCGTCTGGGTCCTGGTGTGTCGTGAGAAGGAAACCACTGGCACAGACAGCAAAAATCCCGTGGATGACGTTTGTATTGGTTTCAAAATCCTTGTGTGACTGCTGTTAAACTCACGTGACCCCGTGTCTCTGTGTCTATATAGGCCTACTGTATTTTTATTTATTTTTTTTACCCATATCAAATTTCACAGCTAATAATAACAGAATATATATGTATGTAACTTAATACCTGCTTTAGTGAAGGCACCAGAGGTTACCATGTTGGTTACATATTGCTGTTTTTTCTTAAGGTCTTAACTGTCTTAACATTTTATTTATATAGTACCAATCAAGAGCGTGACTTTGTGGTGAAAAGTGGTGGGGACAGAGGGGCTCAGATTAGGGGTGTGAAGAGACACACAGCTCACTAGACATCAGATACATGATATTAACATCCACAAGAATGAGACGAAATGATCCTTAAACAGTGTTTTAAAGATATCCTCAATGCTGAGATGTATGAGCGGGGGTCTGGGGGGCCATCCCCCTGGAAATTTTGATCTTTAAACACTTAATGTCCTGCATTATGGTGAAAGTTTCTTCATCAATTAATAGTGGAAATGTTTTTATTTCTGTAAAAAACAAACAATTCAGATAGCACGTGACATTTCAAAATATATAAATATAACCAAATCTAAGTCAGTGCAGCTCTCAGGAATTTTTCTCCTGTAATATCATCCCTGCTGAGGCAACACATATGTAGGCATGATTTAGTCTTCCCTCCACTTTTGTCATGTTCACAGGGAGAAAACCTGGCCAAAAAGAAACTGTGCCAAGAAGCTGTTAAAGTTGCTGCACCTTTTTGGGTCATTTTATAATCAGTAGCTTGTTTGTTTTTTTGGTTTAAGTTACATTTTTTGGACAATGCACATTTGTTAATGTGCAAATAAACCTTTCTAAAGGCATTTTCATTTGTTATGTAAAGGTAAACTATTTTTCAAAATGTTTTTTAAATAAATTATGCTTTGAAAAAGTGGTGGGGACATGTCCCCAGCGTCTGTTATGAAGGTAAAATTAGGCTGATGCCTTTTGGAGTGATATCAGTACATGCTGGAGACATAACACAAAACAGACTATGTTGTGGTTTGGGTGCAAGCATATATTTGAATAGAGTTGCTTTATTTCCTCATATTTGGCCCAGCAGCATCTTGACTGTTTTTCTGTATTGCAGGCTAAATTCAGCTCCATGTTGTTGAGCTGTAGCTTCTGGAGAAAAAGCATGGAAGCTTTGCTTTATATGTCTGGACATGCAGTCTACTGCTTATCATTCCTCATAGATGTAACTACCTGCACTGAAGTGGATGATATCTGTGTGTGTGTGAATGTGTATTTCACATGTAAGGGTAAATTAAATATTCATTATAGCCAGATTGAACTCACGTGTGACAGAGTGCGGCCCAATAAAACACAGCAGAGATTAAAAACACCAAAGGGTTGGGATGTTATACTTTGTTGTTGGTTACAGTAATGTCAGCTTTGGCTGCTGATTTTCTTTAATAACTGTTAAAGTAGCTTAAAATATATTTAAAAAAGCCATATACAGTAATTGCAGTCTGCTGGGATAGTTGCAGAAACGGTAACAATAGTGGATTTAGTAAAATGCAAGTAGATTTCCTTGGTCTGTTGACATATGGTACACACCTACCAACCTATATTGAAGCATTTATTGTCTTTATGACACAGTGCAACCAGTCAAGTCAAAGATGTCTACGTGCACCCTTATGTTCAGGTAGACTACCATTGTCTACACCTGAAGGTGAAAGGCTTTGTTTCATGAGATTTAGGGGAGACTGACTGATATTTTATGTTTTATTGCTCTCTATATGACAATTTAAGGAATACAATTTTCACTTAAATGTCACTGATCTCCTCTGGTTGGAATGTATTTGTATAGAGGGGACACTGTTGTTTGCGATATTGAGTTTTATATAAAAAGTTGACATCAGCATTTATTGGATAAGTAGTAATAAGACAGTTTGTACACTTTTGATAGTACCTATCAAGCAGTACCTTTTTTTGATATGTTACTTTGAAGAATAAAAACACAAACAGTTGGTAAAGAAGAGTTCAGGGACATTTAATGCTGGCTTTCACACCTTTAGGTTTCTATACTCAAAGTGACCCATTTCACTCTGTACCAAAAAGGTAGGCCTGTTTGGTTTTGTAATGTGGTAGTGACATGGTAGGTTTGTGGTACTGGTTTTAGTAATAAAACTAGTTAGAAAAGTAAAAATAGTTTTAGATACTGAAGTAGTACGAGTCAAAGCACTAGCAGTTGCAGTGCTAGGACCGCTTACTATAGCTGTAGTAGCCTAGTAGCAGTAATAATAATTGTCTTGATAGTGGTAGCAGTAGTTGTAGTAGTATTCTTACTAGCTGCAACAGTAGTGGAAATCGTTGTAAAAGCATTTCATCTTCCACAACTTGTCATTATAAAACAAGTCTGTAAACCAGATTTGGAAAACTGTTGTTGTAGCTTAACTTTCTGTTCTCTGTTAGCAGGAACATTTTTCAGTGAGTGAACTGGGCCATATTTGAAGGGCGAGGTTCACACTGAGCTGGGGGGGAACTGCAACAGGGCGTCTTCATTCTCGGAGCCAATGAGAGCCACAGACAGAAGTTGAACTCTTTTCAGCTCTGCTTAATTAGAGAGATGGAGAGAGCTTTTTGTTGTTGTGCGCCTCGAGCTGCCTTCACTGCATTAAGATTCACACAAAACCATACCTTCTGTCCGCCCTTTGCACAGTAAATACACCACAAACACCCCCCCCACACACACACACACCCACAGCTTCCAACTGTGTGATTAAACACTGACTTTTATGCGTGTCTGTTTACATAGTCTGCACCACAGCACAGATATGCCTATTGTGACTAATCCCTTTGCTATGCCGAGTGAGCATATGTGTATGTTGTTGGTTGAAAAAAACAAAAAGACAGGGCTCATTTACCTTTTAAAACCTGAATGTTTCTATAGAGGGTGTATGCAGCTGCTGCTTTTGTCTGTGTTGCATACACAGACAAACAGTGTTTAAGGCATTTTTATGTACTTTCTCCGTTCAGTATCTTTTTTTTTAACTTGTTTTTCTCAGTATCTTTTTTTTTTTTTTTTACTTGTTTTTCTTTGTAGGGTGTAGCTGCTGGTGGGATAAGGAAGGACGGACACCTATTGGTATCAGGTGAGGAGGTAATCTCTTCCCAGAGCCTGTAAATCTCTGCATTTTGATCCCCTACACTTGTGATTGTTACTGCATTCAAAGCATCCAGCTACAGGAGAACCACATGTACCACAGCCAAGCAGCAGCCTGGTCTTGTCAATATTTAATAGCTTCTTAAAGGCTACTGATGTTTCATTCTGATTTATGATAGAGCCTTGAAGCCATTACCACCTTACATCAGATTTACATCAGCACTGCTGCAGGGCTTTACATCAGAAGTATAGCAGCAATAGCTCACTGTTTAGCTCATTGATTATTGACACGTCTTTTCTTATTATAGTTCCACACAACATCGAACAGAGAGTGACAGTTGACCCCACACTGTTAACTCCACAAGCTCAGGATGGAGGAGCCCATTTATGCTACAGGCATGGCCGCCAAGCTGAGGAGCCAGTGGGATCGTGATGACGGTCTGGGACAGAACCACAAAGCAGTGAAGTTTCTTGGTCAGGACTATGACAGTCTGAGAGCCCAGTGCCTCCAGAGTGGGAGGCTTTTTGAGGATAACTTGTTCCCTGCTGCTGCGACGTCTCTGGGGTTCAAAGAGCTCGGCCCAAAGTCCCCCAAGATCTACGGAGTCCGCTGGATGAGGCCCACGGTGAGAAATGGAGGGGAGGGTCTGAGATCTCCGATAAGAGTGAAGATGTGTCTTTGTGGGGATTTTATAAAGAATTTTGATGTTTGAGACAAGAATGTAGCAACAAAACATTCATGTGCGTTTGTGGAGCAGTTGATTCTGAAATGATTAACCCTGCTCACCCGTTATTGAAGTGTGTAAGGCCAGCAGACATACAGTGGTGAGGTTCTGTTGTTTCATCCCAGCCTTCTCCAAAACTTTTGACATCAGCTAAACATGGCTGCACTTTTAAAGCTTAAAAAATCATGCTAAATAAACCCTACAGTAGATAGTAGAGTCTTCTGTCAAAGCATGAATGAGCAGGCCATTTTCAGTAAAAAAAAAAAAAATCAGATAATCCGGTATATTCTAACTTGTTTGGCTACAAAACAAAATGATACTGGCTCTAAAGGACCATTTCTGTATTCTATATTTCTGCAAATCACAGCATTTTTTTCCCAAGCAGCTAGCTACTGGTTTGAACTCACGTTGGTGAGAAACTGTTGGTCAGAAACTGAATATGCGGACACTTCCATCATAATGACAATTTAGTCATCTTAATTTTTTGTCGGAGTTACATTACTGGTGAACTGTTCCTTTAAGCTTTTTTTCTGACCTTTCCTCACAGACTTGAATTTCATCTGCTGCTTGGCAACTACTTCCTGCCAGGAATAATGGGTAGATTTAAACAGAGTCAAGAGCTCTGTTTGCTCAAGTTTAGCCAGTTTGTTGTCTTAAAGAGGCAGGGAGTGTATAACATCTTTTGTCTTCTTCCTGCTTTTTTCTTTCCATGTATCTCCACAACCCTTTCCTGCTTGCCTGTCGGTACTCCCTGTTACTGAATATAACACCAGAGAGCGATGTGGGACTATCTTCATTAGGTGTTATCACGGCAGTCCCGAGGACAGCACAGTCTCATTAATGTTAGATTTACACATGACGTGACGAGACGAGTAGTGATCTTAAAAGCTGTCGGGGTCGTGATCAGTAGCGTGACTGCAGCCTCTCCCAGCTTCCCTTGAAGCTTTCATTTGAGCGTGCAAGAGCCACTGTGTGGAGACCACCGTGTGTGTGCGTGTTAACATGTCTGTCCTGTGTGTGTGTGTCTTTCAGCTCTAATGCTTCCCGGGGTCTCGTCAAAAAAGTCTTATGTTTTATAATGCATGTGCCTCTGTTGAACCACAGGACCTGTAATATTGACGCTGCTTAAGAGGGTTCGTGATGTTCACATTTCTCCAAAAATCTGTGCTCTATGTGAGCCTGAAAAATACAATTCCAGCCTGTGTGTGTGTGATGGTTACTTTTTCTGTGAATTTAACCATGTGCCTGGTGGTTTGTGTTTGTGGGGCATGAGGATGAATGGAATATTTCTCATGTGGGGTTTTCTCACGCTCAGCATGCTGAGTAGAAGATGGTTTATGAAGCAGGGCGATACAGGGAAGACATGAACATTATCTGGTGTTAATTTTAGCTGTGCATTTTAAAAGAGCAGCTTCTCATTTACAGAAATATATTGGATATTCAATCTACTATTACAGTATAAAAGACAATAGGATCCCAGTGAGTGCTTACAAACCATTAATGGATTATGAAATTTGTTTGCCATTCAATTACCATCATCTAATAGATTCATGTGCTGAGATGAGTTTTGTTAAGAAGAGAGATAACTTTGGGATATTAGCTAAGCACAAAGACTAGAAACATGCACAAGAAGCTAGCCTAGCGAAGTCAAACATAAAGAAATACACCATTTGAACAATGTCAAAACTTATATAGTCTTAGTTACAGTATTTTATGTGTTGTATATTGCGTATTACTAAAGCAATCCATATCTGAAATTGAGACTTTGTGGTTTTAGGAGCAACTGTATTTCTTGACCAATAGCTTCTCAAGTTTGATGTGGGGTGGGCAGATTTCTGTGCTAGCTCCAGCCAGAAGCTTGGGGATATGAATAGCGTGCTTGCATGAAAAGAAAGTACAAATGTGGTGGTGTCTGCTTCTAAAACCAAAATGTCATTGTAAGTAAAATATAAATGAGAAGGCTTTGCAGATGTGCTTGGCTAACTTCAAGTCTTCATACGAAACGCTATCATGTCTCCAGGATTGCCAGGTCTGTGACAAAACCACAACTACCAGAACTCAAAATGTGCCCTGTCAAATCATATACAATGCCTTTAACAGTATGACAGCATTGCTAACATTGCCAAATGTATTGTTATATCTATAAAGTAACAACACTTGTTTATAGTGCTAGCATTTAGAGCAGTTTTCCCTAAACAGTTCTTTCATCTTTGTCCAAACGTGGCCTTGTGTAATTACAGTACAGATACAGTATCTTAAATAAAATATAGCTTTGTGAACATGTAGACCAATTCACTGACACACAAACTAACCTGTTGCTTTGTCTTTTCACGCTTTGTCTCTCTTACTGTTACCATTTAATTCCGTTTTCCCATTCTCTTGTATATTTCTTCCCATATTTTACACACTTACAGTGGTGTCATGTTTCTATCTCGGGTTGCTAGCTAGTAAATTAGCTTATTACTAGCTTGTTTGCTTCACTAGCAAAGTTGGACGGAGAGCATCAGTGTGTGTGTGTGTACTGTATGTGGGCGTGTTACCCATGTCCTTGTCTGTATGTCCAGATCTGGAGTCAGTTGGTAGGACAACAAATAAATGATTTAATTTAAAATATGGATTTTTATTTATAGATCTTGTCATGTAATTTGCATGCAATATAGTTCTACCCAACCAGCGGACAAAAAGAATTCAACCCAAGGCAGCAACTCAAAATGTAATCCAGTGAAAACCTGACAAACCTGCTCAAATCAATCACTATACTGGACGCAGAGCTAAAACATATTTTTTTAATGTCTCTTTTAAGTCACATAAAAACAGACTAGTTAGTGACCAGCTGCATGCTATAGACATTTATTTAAGAATTATCTTTACAGCTATATTAGGATAAGGATATTCTAACTGGCAATGTGGAAATGCTTTTTGACTTGTTGAAACCTGCGTATGCGGAGGCCCATTTGCACTTGTCAACACAGTCAGCGTGAGAACGGCAGCAGATTAACATGTCTGTGAAATCGGTATCCAATCGTAAAAACATAGCACTAATTTGTTTGTTTTGTTTGTGTGTGTGCGCACTTGACAGGAGTTCTGCAAGAGGCCTGAGTTCATTGTGGGCGGAGCTACTCGCACAGACATCTGTCAGGGAGCTCTGGGTAAGTCAAACTAGGAGAGTTCCCGGCTGTTTCTCTGTTGCTTCTGTGTGATTCAGCTTTTAGAGGACAGAAGAAAAGAGAGCTTAGATTTAATCACATAGAAAGACAATATAAGAAATGTCGGTAGAAGCCAAGAGAAACAGGGATATAGTCCCTCCAGAACCAAATTTGGTATTAATTTAACTATTACTGGGATCTTCTGATACGACATATGCCAGACTTGTAAACATACAACCGTAGTTGCCTTCCTAAACACAATGAGGAGAAATTAATGGTGGATTCCAACCATTTTGAATTGCACTACTGTAAAGTTTTGGGGACTTGCGGGAAGAAAGATAATTACAATAATTTGTGACCAATCACCAGGGGTTATTTGCTCTGACTTTAGAAAGCTTCTCCAGAGCCACAGATGGCTGAAATGATGCAACTGTTTTTAAAACTGACCTTAATATGTATATTTGATGTAATTCCCCCCATTTCAGCTGAAATTATTGAACTTTATTAATGTAATATATTAATATTTTATAAATATAATATATTTACAAAATATTATTCCTACCATTAACCAGCTCCCATTGCATATACTGTATGTAGATTCCTCCTTCCATGTGTAAATAAGACTGAGCTCTTTATTCAGCATGCCAGGTTACCTACAGTGAGGATTAAAAAGTGGGCGATCAAACTCAACAGAGCAAACTGAATCAGGATGTGAGTGACAGATAGAGATGGACAGCCTGAAGGAGAGAGAAACGGAGGACAGTTAACTGTCAGTGCAGCAGTAGCAGTGACAGTTTATTGCCTGTGATGCTTCCTGCTCCACACGGAGCTGCATTTATAATTCATGCTTGGTTTCTCTGCCTCACATCTGTAAACAAGGCCAGCTGCCCTCGGTTTGAGTAGCTCTGGCAGTGCGGGAAGCAACTTCTCAGAGTCAGATGAAAATAAACTACTCCTGTAAAAGAGCGACTATGGCTTTGGAACTGCGCCCCTGCAGGTCAGACAACACAACAAAGACTATTTTTTGTTGAGGTTTTCTCAGATCCTGTACCAGAGCCTGCATGTATGGTGAAACAGCGAAGACGGTAAAAATGGGGTGAGGTGAGTCTGGGTGCGCCTGTCCTCCAACCGAGAAACATTTGCAATACAAGAGATCATAACAGAAATGGCGATTGTGGCTAAAACCCACAGTGTGATTCCTACTAACAACTTCAGTGACTTGATGTGGCTCCACCAGTGGAACAAGTGCCTCTCCCATTTCCCTGAGGACCAAGCCTGTTCAAACACAGTTCCTGCCTCTTGTCTTTACTGAGCTGTGCATGGGTGAATTCCAGTTTTATAAATGTCTTCCCACTGAGTGCATTCAAGCTTTATCTCAACGGCATCAACAGCTTAATAGATAATAAACATTTGAACGAAGGTGGAAAATGTTCAGGATTTATTTTAATATTGGAGCAGATACAGAGTGATGAGCATCTGCTGGAATCATTTGAAATTAGTGTCCGACACCTATTTTAAATATACCTGCTGTCATGACATGGGCTGACCTAGGGTAATAAAAGTGTGTGTGTGTGTGTGTGTGTGTGTGTGCAGGGGACTGCTGGTTGCTGGCAGCCATCGCCTCGCTGACCTTAAACGACAACCTCCTTCACAGAGTGGTTCCTCATGGACAAAGCTTCGAGCAGGGATATGCTGGCATCTTTCACTTTCAGGTGAGAGTAGCTCCACTTCCTGTATTTACAGTTATACATCTAAGGGTATAAACGCAACAAACACACCAAAGACACCTTTCTTCAGGCAACACTGGAGAAACCAGCAAGAGACAGGTAGATTTTGAAAGTATCCAACTGACAAAATCCCACGCCCTCCCTTCAGGCCTCCCTCCAAATCCACTTCCCCAAAACACATTTTAAACTGCAGTGAGTGCACAGGCAGAGTTTGCAGGCAGGTAGGTAGGCCAGAAATGATTGGCTGTGCTCGTTACAGTCCTGCCACAGATACAGATTAAACATCTTTGTGTCAGAGCATTTGATTTATTGATTGCTGTCGGGGTGTAAGGGGAATTTCAACAAAAATACAAAAATGCTTCTAAATTAATGTCCTACCCTAGCTTTATTAAGCTGCTAATTACATTTATTTAAAACACAGCTGGAAATCCCATAATGCTCCTCGTGAGAGATTTATAGATCTCATAGGCTAGATGTCCTCCCGCAAGACTTGCAGGCTGAACCCTCACAGATTTCTTTCATATGTATTGTGACCAGTTCATCATCGTCATGTCTGCAAGGCCAACAGGGGATAAAGTGTGCTAAGACGGGACTTCAGATTTCAGTGCTTTCTTTGGATATTAATTTAAATTCCTGACCTTTTAACCAATCTGTTTGTTTCCGAATGGCTCTTAATGGGCTGATCCTCATCGTACGTAGATGTACTGCTATTGTGTGGATGTCCGGCCATTTGGATTAAGCCATAGGAAGTGAGCATGAGCCAGTAGTCCTGTGCCAGCTCACTTCACTTGTTGTGTTTCTGCCCTAACGCTTCCTGTTGTGCCATTTCCTGTTAGGTGCACCGCTGGTTGTGCAAACTGCTAGAGTGAAACGAAAAGTAGTTTGTTTTCATTGGTTCAGACCAAAGTGGAAACATTTATTTTGTTGCATTTTTGTATGTCTTTATGTTTAACTTCACACTGATCCATTACAAGCGAGCTAAAATCATGTTAAGCTGCCATGATAAAGATGGAGAGTTTCCTTTTACAGTTTTTCACAATTGCTAAGACACATTTCTTTAAACTACATTCACAAAACCGCTGACACTTCTGGCAAAATCAAACACTTGTCTCAAAACCATGTGATCTGTGCTCAAAATCAAACAATGCTTTCAAAACATAAACACAGCCAGTCAATAAGTAAAACACTACAGATCATTCTTTAGACACTATATCAAAAAATTGACACACACAGCGTCCAGGGTATGTAGATGTATGTAAATGTTTTTTTTGCATAGAGGAAACACATTTTCCAATTTAAAAATTATAGTAATCACAACTTAGTACAGTAAATATTTAATATACTGTAAGTGCTGCAAGTAATACAGTATTGAATATCTGTATATTCAAATACAGTAAGACCAAAGAACAAATAAAACTATAAATACAAAGCATATTGCATTCAAAAATGTTGTGCAACTGCAAAATCCAAGTCAGTACAGTAAGAGACATCATCCACATCACATGCAACCTTGTCCCTTTCCAAGAAAAGGAGGAAAACCCTCAGGTGTGATGGACTCAGCCTGACTAACAACACTCCACACCTATCTCACCACAGGCCAATTCCACTGCCTGTAAGAGATTTTCTGTAGTAAATTTAATAAGTTTCGGTCATAGAGCTTCCAACATCAGGCAGAGAAAAATTCTTCTGCTGGATTGAAGTAAGTGTTGTAGGTTGAAGGTAATCATTTATGAATCACTGGTTACTGGTTGATGTTGAACCACTTGCTTAGCGGGACACCACAGTGAAAGCTGACATTGTCCCTTAGACAGGATGTACTGCCGCCTGATGATCCAGCTGCTCAAACTCAAAATTCCAACGACCACCCAGAAAAGTAAGAAGATGTTCAGTGTCGTATGGCCCCAAGGTTGAATGACGGTAGGGAACCTGTCCCTTACTTATAGGTTGGTCAAAGTGTGACATTGCCACTACGCTGGCCAGGGACTTCACCACATTTTGTTCTGATCACATCATTAGAAACAAGTGTGCAGAATTATGAGTCGTATGTGTTGTAGTTGTGTTTAACTTTTGCTGCATCTATTTACCATTTTGCAACAAAAGCGCATCACAGCACAAAATGTGTTTTAGTGAGTGAGAATGCAATGCAAAAAGAGTAGATGAGATTTGCAAACAGTGTCTTAACTATGCGAACTTGTTTAAGGTTTTGCCAAAAGAGTGACTGATTCGACAAATGGATTTAGGCCACTGAGCACTGGGTTCAGAGAATGGGGTTTAGTGTTTTAGCAAATGTAAAACTGAAAGCAGAAATGGTGCTGCTGTGAAAGATTTTGTTGATGTCTTGCTGTGGTTAGATGCATGATGTCATTTGGGTTTTTAAACTGTGTCCCAGGAAAATCAAAATTTCAATAAAATTCCTTCCTCATTCATACCTTAATTTATTTTGAGCAAGAAACATTGACCACATTGCTGATATATATCTATACAGGCATTGGCCTTTAAGCAGCTACATTAGTGCTGAAGTGAAAAGTTGATTAATTGATTATTAGGTGGACAGAAATAACTGACATTAATTTTACTAATTAATTTACTAATCGCTTTCTCCTGTGAGGATTTCCTGCTTTTTTTTTCATGAAATATATTTCTAAACCAAATCTGTTTAGACCAAATGGGCATTTGCAGTGTGACACCTGGACCATTTAATGAACAGATTAATAAAAACACGATATATAGATTATTTGATGCTATTAGTAATCCTGATGCGACATTTCTTGCTCAACCAGTGAGTCGGTGAAGAACTCCCAGAATGAATAATGAGGGTTAAAAACAGCAATTATTCTTTCATAATCTGCTGTTAAACCCCACTGAGTCATCCAAGATAACAGAACTCTCAGATCCACACCCAGTCAGTCAGTCTGTCAATAAACTTTACCTGGGAGGCCTTAAGTGACCAACGCCCATTTCTGTATGAGACATATGAATTTTTAAGCGTAGAGGACAATATGTCAGTGACGTCAAGACTACTGTTGACAGTCAAACACAGAGTCCCCCTCTGATTTTTCTGGTCCTGCTACTTTGAGACTTAAATGTGGAATATGTGTACTGTTTTTTTCTACCTCTATGGTACGAGCCTCTGACAGGCTGACAGGCCTTATCGGCTGAACTTTGCTTCGTATACAAAACTACTTACTCCAGAAACGCACATGAATACACACTGAAAAACCACAGGCTCATGTGAGGCCATGGCTGTTGCTTCACACTGGAGCACTGGCGCAGGTGTTGGACTGATCATAAACCCGATAATGCTACTTGTAGCAGTGGTTTGATTTGAATATTATTTTCATTTTTGGTCTGCATGAGGAAGTATTCTTGCTCAGGTAAAATCTGGACCCGTTCGATTGATGCGTCGCTAAGAAGATTTTAAGAGACTGCAACACGCTGAGACTTTTCATTTGTATTCTCCTGAACTTTTTTGGGACTCATCATCTGTCCCACTGAGGTTTTGTGGATGTGCATGCAACTCTTCTAACTGATATTTGTAGTTATTATGTTTGAACGCTAAATTATACAGTAGATTATATATATAATTTAGTGATGGCAGTCAGCCCAGCCCTTTGCTGTAATATAAAATATACGTTGAAAAACATTTAGCTAAATTGCAGAAGTACCACCAGCAGGTCACATTTCCACTTGTTGACAACTCCTGTCAAACTTTGAGATTAATGCTAACGTAGCCCGCTGACATGCGTTAGTATCCATGGCAATGCTGATGAAGCCTGGCAAGATGTTGAGGTGTCCTATAGTCGATCTTTTCTGTGGCGCCTTTTTCAGGTCAAAATTCACATTTTAGTGTTTAAGGAGAAGCTGAGTTGTCTCATCATTTTTAATTCATCCAACAACTTGGTTTATCTAGTGTGCATTACAGTCTGACTGGACCTCTAGTGTGGCTAATGACATTTTGCCTGATCATTTTAAGAATTTACTTGTTGTCCTTTTTCCTAAAAGAAGTTTAAACGTCCACATTATGAGTAAACAAACCTAATGCCGCTGATAACGGCATGTGAACTCAAACTAATTTGTTGTAGTTCCAGTGATTATGCTAGACAAAGTGCTAGTAGTAGGAAAATGAAACGTATTATGCTGCAGTAAGTCTATTCTTACTATTCTGTTGTATTAGCTAATGATGACACTGTGGAGGAGTGTGTCTGTCATGTGATCTCACATAACTGTGAACCCCAGAATGTGTTGCTGAACAGCCACTTGTGTTTCTCTCATGCTCGAGCTGCCAAAACAGCTGGGGATGAATATTTTATTCTTTTGTTAACCTTTTTTAAATGAGAAGCAAACACACAGAAACAATTTGCCATTAATAGTCATCGACCATCTCAGCCTGCTTTGCCGCAGAGCACTTTGAGCTGAGTCGGTAGCCCTCTTTGATGCAGCGAGCTCTGTGCCAACGAGGCTGCCAACCCTCAAAGTGTTGACAAAGGAGAGAGAGGGAGAGAACGAGGAAGCAAAACAGGGAAAGGGGGGGTGGGGGCATGTCACACATCAAAGACATGTACTGCACAGAAACTGACCCAGCTGCCATCAATTGCACATCCTGCACACACATGCACACAGATGTAGGTTAGGTTACAGCATGGTAGGGATATCTGTCTTCAAACCCTGAAAACATTTGAGCATCTATGTGGGCAGTTGGGTAAACTTTTCTGAAGCATCCTTGAGAAAGAAATCCCCTCAGCTCCTGGGGCTGCTGTGCTGACTCATCTGACATCAAAGGATCAATAAATACCATCACACAACCCCACACACACGCGCACACACACACCCACACACCCACACACACACTTGCTCTGTCTGCTAAAATCAGTGGAAGTAATACTTTCATATGCTCTAAAGGCGTGTCGATGCGTGGCTGTGTTTAATGTATAATATGCATGAAAGCTAAATGGCTCGTAAATACATATGGCTGCTTTTCATTTTCGTTGCCCTAGTTTCTTGTCTGCATGGGTTTTTGTTTTAAGCCCCTCTTCATGGTGTTTGTGTCGCAGCCAATAACTATTCTTATACTTGCATGTTTCCATAGCTTTCACGATTTCTCCTTTTTCTTTTCTATCTGCGCATGTTTCCACTCTCTGTTCCCTTTTATGTGCTGCTGAGTCTTTTAGGGATTCCCTTGTATCGTTTTGGATCCTTAGAGCATCTGGATAAATTACCCAGACTTGAATGAGTCATCCCAAAATGTAATTATGAGTGCAGGCAGTAGGAATCTTAATTGAAGGAGGAAAGAAAAGGGAAGGGGTCTGTGCAAACGGGCGAGGCAGACAAACAATAGGAGGAAGGATAAATTATAAATTAGACAATCTCAGTCGCAAAACAAATGAAACTGTTAACTGGGGCAGAATCCTTTATTATATTCTTATTATAGCACGTTTCACACAGAAAGTCTGAACAGTTGAACTGTAGTGAGGATTTCTCAAGCTTTAAGGCTCGGCAACTGCAAGTCATGACACAGTTGTGGTAAGAGTTAATTTCCCTCAGTGAGGCTGGGTGTTGCTCCCACATTGCTGTGAGATAACTGTTCAGCTGTGTCAGTGTGAAAGAGTAACATGAAGAAGTTGTGTGCGCTGTAGTGGTTGCCAGAGGCAGGGGGGTGTGTGTGTGTGCGTGTGCGTGTGCTTTGTGTTGTCTTCAGTCAGCCGTATTGTGACACAGCTCCTCCCAGAGACGGATGCAGCTCTGCAGGCCATGCAGAATTCATCCATCCATCAGTCGTCCTGCTGTAACACACAGTTGCAGTGCACACACATGCTGACATGAGGTGCAGTCTGTAAAATCACAGATGCATTCACACACACTCCAACTGTGGACTTTGATCTACCAAAAATCCCTCAACTGTCTCGAGGATTCTGTGTCAGTCTAAGTACAACCAGTGTCTCCGGTTTGCTGGTGGGTTTTCTGCACCTTTACAAACATCCATCAACATGTCTGCTGACAGAAAAGCTACATGAAAAGCTAAAAGACAGGACATATCCCTTGCACTGTCTAGAATAAGTCATTATTACAGATAAGATCATCCGCTCTGCAGATCAAATGCTTTGGTTCCTGTGTGATATTTCTCTTTATTAGCATTAGCCCAAATGTTAACATGTTGAAACCAGAGATAGGAATTTCTCTCAAAAATGTCCTTGGTGCTTCTTTCGATGCGGTTCAATTACTAAATATTACTAAATATTTAATATTTATTACTAAATAATTACTAAAAAGCAGCATACATTTGTCTTTTCTTTTTTAACGGTTTCATTCAGATTCATTTTTTGTTTTATGTCTCAGTGTAGTTACAGTGTGTGATGTCCTATGCTCAACTATGCAAAAATGTAACCTGACTTTTCCACACTCTCAGTAGCAGGATGAACTCTGTGAGTCATATGTGAGGTTTTCCCAATTTCAAGCATGCGTTTTTTTTCTTTTTGCTTTTGTTGCTAGGGAATGACAACAGAAACTCTGACACTTTGACTTCAGCCTATTTGGACCCTTTTGAACCAGTTCTGCTTGTCAATGGGCTGTGGCATCTTTTCATATGTTGTGTTGACCTCTTCTGCTCCCTGCTGGCCAACAGGCACACAGCCTGAGGACCTAATGTGAGGGGGAAAAAAAACCGATAATATATATTGACCCTGCCCTCCTTAGTCCACCTGCTGGATTGCAAAGACTTGTATTGCGTCTTGGTTTATCATCTTGTCAAAGAGATTTAAAAGACATTTCAGAATCTTAAGAGGTGTTCCTCAATATTAAGATTTATGAGGAATTGTCTAGGATTCTCTCATTTGTTATGCAACCAAGACAACTTGCTGAAGTTCAAGCTGAGCATCAGAATGGGGAAGAAAGGGGATATAAGTGACTTTGAACGTGGCACGGCTGTTGGTGCCAGACGGGCTGGTCTGAGTATTTCAGAAACTGCTGATCTATTGGGATTTTCACACACAACCATCTCTAGGGTTTACAGAGAATGGTCCGAAATAGAGGAAATATCCAGTGGCGTAAACAAAATGAAAGCATGGATCCATTCTGCCTTGTATCAACAGTTCAGGCTGTTAGTGGTGGTGTAATGGTGTGGGGGATATTTTCTTTGCACACTTTGGATCGCTTAGTACCAAGTGAGCATCATTTAAATGCTACAGCCTACATGAGTATTGTTGCTGACCATGTCCGTCCCTTTATGACCACAGTCTACTCATCTTCTGATGGCTACTTCTAGCAGGATCATGTACCATGTCACAAAGCTCAGATCATCTCAAACTGGTTTCTTGAACATGACAGTGAGTTCACTGTTCTCCAGTGGCCTCCACAGTCACCTGATCTCAGTCCAATACTGCACCATTGGGGTCTGGTGGAACGGGAGATTCGCTTCATGGATGTGCAGATTCTAAGGAATCCAACACCTGTTGAAAGTATGCCACAAAGAATTAAGGCAGTTCTGAAGGCAAAATGTGGTCCATCCCGGTACTAGCAAGGTGTACCTAATGAAGTGGCCAGTGAGTGGATGTTCTCTGAAATTTCAACGTCAGCAATAGTTAAACAAGGGCGGGGCATGTCCTGCCTTCTGGATTGTTAAACAGGTATTTGCTTGAAGGATTGGTTTGGAGATATTGAAAGTACTGGTGAGAGTGCTGGAAGGAAATTGGAGTAGGGTTTAATGTTGCATATTTATTATATTTGAGGGGTTGAAACACAAAAGCAGGCCCGGGTGCTACAGTATCTTTCAGTGTCTCCCTAGCGACATGTGTTTGTCTCTGTGTGGTAAAATGTGAAAAGTTGCAGAGACAAAACCCCAAATAACACAACAACCCAAAGGCAAAAAGAAGAACTCAATAATACAAACAGAAAATATGTTATTATTCAAATGATGTTACTGTAGATTCACAGTCTGTCACAGAACATTGTGAACAGACATTTGGTGCTTTTACTTTACATACAATACGATTAAACCAGTGATTCCCAACTTGTTTGGCTTGTGAGCTCTTACAAGAAAGCAGTGTCGTGGTCGGGCCTTGTGTTCCAGATATCTATGAGTTGTTAGCCAAAGAGACAGTTCCTCACTTAACTTGTTGGATGGTTTAATTGTTTGAGGCCCAAACAGACAGGATGATTTCAAGTGGGATCAACTGGCAGTATGAATGAGAGTGAGCTGGTTAAGGATCTGCAGGGCTGATGAGGGATGTGGGAACAGGTGTGTAGATGGGTGGGGCGGTCAGGTGATGGGGAAAGAAGGGTAGGTCTTAGGCCATCAGGTGGACAGCTTGAGGATGGCAGGTCTGGGGAGTGGGAGGAAAGTGCCTGGGGAAGTGAGGAGGGACAGACAGGGACAGAGAGCAATGCAGGGCTGGGGATGAGGGAGTGTGGCTGAAGAGAGGGCCTGAGGAGCAAGATGTGACAAAATGCTACTTACACATTGATGAATCTGTATTTACGATCCGTTATCTAAGATATAAATGCCAGTCAAAGGCCTGTTTTTAGAACCTGTACATTTGCTTTTAATATCAAGTGTGTTTACTTAAGTAGGATTTTAAATGCAGGACATTTACTTGTAATAGAGTATTTTGACATTGTTGTATTGGTACTTTTACTCAAGTAAAGGATTTGAATACTTCTTACTCCCCTCTGCATCACTGAAACCTACAGTATGTATAGTAACACATGATACATTGCCTTTAACTTGTTCTCCTCATATGTGCTAGTTTACCATATTTTCCTAATTTTTATTTAGATTTATATGCACCATGAATTTAAATACAAATCCAATTTATGTCTTGTGTGTTTGATAAATCAACAGCTACCTTCCTGATGACCAATGCCTTGTGTCCTTCTTCACATACTCACTATCTTAATCTTAATAATCTGTTAGGTGAGTCGTAATATTGGTGTTTTCTTCTGTCTGTCGTGCAGTTTTGGCAGTTTGGCGAGTGGATGGATGTGGTGATCGATGACCGGCTGCCAGTGAAGGATGGGAAGCTGCTGTTCGTCCACTCTGCTGAGGGAACTGAGTTCTGGAGCGCGCTGATTGAAAAGGCATACGCTAAGTAAGAAACACAGACAGACAGACAGAGGGACAGGGCTGCAGAGTTGAGATGTAAATGAACCTTTTAAAACGTCTAAATTTAAAATAATTTGTATTCATCATTTAAAAATAATCAGCAGATCATTTCCATGTTGGTTCTACATTTGGCTTTATTTTTGTGCCTTCTTCTCAAGTGATCACTTGGATTATGTGTAACTGCCAACATCCAACATTGCTAAAGTATGTACAGCCTGTGTTTTTTTACCACTGCCTCGTCCTCTGGGCTAAAGACGAGAGGGACCATCCGGCTGTGCCCAGTGTAAAAGCCATTGTCCATGGAGGTATCTGGGTGCATTAGTGCACATGGCATGGGTAACCTGCACATTTGTGATGGTACAATCAGTGCTGAACGATATATACAGGTTTTGGAGCAAATTATACTGCCAACAAAACCATCTTTTTCAGGGATGGCCTCGCTAATTTCAGCAAGACAGTGCCAAACCACATTCTGCACGCATTACAGCAGCATGGCTCCGTAGTAAAAGAGTGTGGGTGCTAAACGGGCCTGCCTGCAATCCCAACTTCTCACCCATTAAAAATGTTTGCTGCATTATGAAATGTAAAATAGGACAAAGGAGACTCTGAACTGTTAAGCAGCTAAAATCCTACAACAAGCAACAATGGGAAAACATTGCAGGAGTGTTTTAATGAGAGGTGATGCAACAGAATAGTAAACATGACCTTGTCCCAACGTTTTTGAAACATGTTGCTGGCATCAAATTAAAAATGGGCGTGTCCAAATCTCCAAACTGAATGTAGAAAATTGGTGTTATGAACTTGTCTGATGAACACTTGAAGCCCTTACAGAGCTATTAAGAGACTTCAGACTCCAGCTGCTCCAGTGGACAGCTGTGGTCTCAGTTGTGAATTTGGTAAGCTGTACAAGTGAAGCACAGTATTGTTCAAGTTAAGTGGGCTGCCTGCCCACTGAGAGCCGACAGGAAATAGTAAGAGAGTGATGTATAAGTGATTTATGAGTTGTTACACTTGCTATGTTTGTCTGTAGGTATGTGTTTATATGTGATAGTGTAGAGCAGTGAGTGTACCCTACCATACCGTACCCTTCTCTAAACATTTCCCCTAACTACAGGTCTTTTGACTGCATAGTTCATAAACACTGACATTAATGTCTATGCCGAATCATCAGTCATTAATTCTCCATTTAAGGCCTGCTCATATACCTAATAATTCTTCATGTACTCCTTGAACAATTTTAAATCCTTATTAATCTCTTGTTTTGTCCCAGGTTGAACGGCTGCTATGAGGCTCTGTCAGGCGGCAGCACATCAGAGGGCTTTGAGGACTTTACAGGTGGCGTGACGGAGCAGTACGAGCTGAGCAAACCCCCCTCCGACCTCTTCGGCATCATCAAGAGGGCCATCGCCAGAGGATCACTGCTGGGCTGCTCCATAGACGTAAGTACTGCAACAGACTACTGCATAAATGGGAAGTTAACACAGATTTATCGAAGATTGTTCCTTCTTTAAAGCGACTAGAATCGATTATTATAACAACATGTTAAATGACTCTGTAAAAACAATGTTTAAATGTGAAAGGGGTCATTTGTAGTTATGAACCTGCAGAGTGTAACTTTAATCTGCAGCTCCCCTCGGTTTTACAGAGTTTTATAGTTAATTTAGAGATTTATAGTCCATTCTATATTCCCATTTACATTTTTTTTTCTTTCAACAATATATTCAGTGTTGATAAGTGTACAAACCAAGGACTCTCCCTGTTTTCTAAAATTAAAAATAATGCAAACAAGCCACCATCTCAGTTGTCATTACCTCTAGCTGGTTTTCACTTTAAATAGAGATCCCCCTGTGTTGCTGAAGTCAGCATTTTTCAGTCTCAGTGCCCTTCATGGCTTACTCTCTCTCTTTTTAATATCTCACATTAATACAATACAATGTTGAAATGATTAAACAATTAATCAATTCATTAAAGTACAATTTTAAAGTAGTAAAGTTATTAACAGTGTTCCACGTTCTCAAATGTGAAGATTTGCTTGCTTGCATTGCATCATTGTAAATTCTCTGGGAATTTTGTTTGTTGGACTTTATAAGCAGTTTAAGACACATCTGTGGTTTCTGCTGAGTTGCAATGGGAACTTCCATTAGTGTTTATAAACTAAATGATAAATCAAGAAAATAAAATCATTACCAGTTGATTTAATAATGAAAATAGTCTATTGCATTGCTTTAATACCCCTTGTTGAGTCAAACAGGTGAGATTTATAATGATTTATAATGTATCACTATGGCTTAGTGTCTGACACATGCTTTAGCTTGAACCTCTATAGGAAGGTCAAACTTCAGAGTCAGCTGTAGATCAGCGCTGACCTTGGACGGCCAAATGTTGGGATGATTTTCACACTAGGTTGGGGTGGTGGGGATCAGTATTTAAATCACAGTAACATTAGAGTACATTGTCATATTTTACAGAAAGTACATTGACTGTATTATTACCTGTCAGGTAGAAAAGAGAGAAGTTGCTGTGTCGTCCCATTGAAGAGACTAGAAATAGGGCAATTTGAGTCAAAAGTTGTGTAATGGTAGAAAAATGTGGGCAATGTGATCTGGGAGGACACCAGTAGAGGGCGGTGAAGATTGGGAAATGTGCGGTAAAGGGGTTGGAACTGGCAGTTCAGTGTAATTCTCAAGGACACTTTAGTAATTAGGTTTGCAGACAAAGGTGACTGAACTCTGTCTGTCTGTTATTGAATTACATTTCCTGTACTCAGTGTGCCCACCTGTGCTGCTCAGTTTGGGTAGGAACGCCAATCTAGCTTATCTTGTTGCAAAACATAAAAGAAGACAAGTACCAAAAATGAACAATTACAGTTGTCTGAGAGCTTTGTGCACCAGAGATAAAGACATAGAAGTCAGTTTTACTGTGACATGGTTTAAATTAATAATATTGCATTAAAGTTTGCATATATTTTTATAGATGTGACTAAGTTTAAAGAGTTTGTTAAACAATTAAAGAAAAATCATGGGATGCGTGTGAGTCATGTTTCCCCTTTGTTATGCTAATAAATGTGGATCCAGTCTGATGACAGTGATTGAGAGCACTGCAAACAGATCTCCCAGCTGTCTTTGAATATCATAACATCACATGCATATACACAGCTTGGTGTGACTGCTGCCATGTCTGTGTCTTTATTAGCTGAAACAACCAGCGACAGTTGTCTCGCTAAGGGGTTCCTCACTCTGTGAAGTTTGCTGGTGTTAATAAATAAACCGTGACATGCCGGTGACTGTGACCCACTGCCTGTAGATGTCACCTAACCATGTCACATGTGGAGCATCAGTCGTCCTGATCTTGTGACTTGTGTTGTAGAAGTCAGTGGCCTGTTTAACTCCATTCTGTCATCTTCAGATCACGAGCTCAGCCGACCAGGAGGCCGTCACGTTCAAGAAGCTGGTGAAAGGACACGCCTACTCTATGACTGGAGCAGAGGAGGTGAGCAGTAATGAAGGAAATCCCTTTTTCAAAAATGGCAGCGCAGTTATTTTTGCAGTAGAAAGAAAAGGAAGAAAACGTAAAATCACTAGTGAATTCTCAAGTCACAAATATTCATGACTATTTCACATTTTAAACACACATCAACATACAGAAAGGAAATTTAAAGGATACACAGATTATCAGCAAAAACTAAAGCTATACATAAAACAATTCAATTTGCTCTAAAAATGTTCACGGCTTTGAGTTGAATTATGTCACATGTTGGATAAGTTACAGTGTTTGTAATTCATGTAACTTGTTTGTGTACAGGAAGTGTAGTTTTATGTGCCTGGAGTCATCTGTATTTTCTTGTTTTTATACCAGCTCATTTATTTGATTGAAAATAATTTCCCACTAAGTTACAGGAGATACACTTGACTGTGATCCATGCGATGAAACCAGTTAATCAGTGACAAAGTGTGAATATCAGGTGGCGTTTCTTCGACCCTTAGGTGCAGTACAGAGGAACTATGACCAAGCTGGTTCGCATCAGGAACCCCTGGGGGGATGTGGAATGGACCGGACCCTGGAGCGACAAGTAAGATTTTACTTTCACACTTAACTACACTACATTTGTGGTGTTAAATGGCAACCCATAACAGGAAGTTTACAACTTTCTTGTTTGTGAATGAGACAAAAGATTCTGCTGTTTCAGGAAGTTTTCACACTGATTAAAACGCTGTTCTTGGGTAAAATGTAAGACTTAAATGTGAAATTGTTCCTAATGGCACAGCTGCATAGTCCCAGAATCAGCAAAAATACAAAAATACCAGACATTTTTCCCACTGCCAACATTACGTCACAGTCCAACTGAGCATTTTCAACACTTCACATATTCAAATTTGCATGACATTTTCCCTGTGCAGAGAAGTTGCAACAAAGTTGCTGGTTTAAAGACACATAACTTCAGTAGTAATCTGTAAATTTATGGTAAGTAGCATTATGGGTTTTGCTATAAGGAAACTCATATATATTTACAGTAAAAAGGAGACATTTAGTACAGACATTCATGATTCCCAGGTGATGGGTCCAACTGACTTTGATGATCCCCTGACTTTTTAATCTAGCGTCACCATCAGGTTAAAATTTACACTTTATGACCAAATATCTGTAAAACTAGTGACATTCCTATCAGCCTCAACTGTGCTTTGTGTTCATTGCTAATAAGCTAATTTAGCCCCTTAACATGCTAAACTAAGAAGGTGAACATGGTAAACAGACTCTTAAGACATCACGTTGACACAGTCATTAAATAACAGGTTACAGAAAAGAGAAAAAAAGCTCAGTTATCTTTTTTTTCGTTGTGAATTCCTCAGCGCCAGAGAGTGGGACCAAGTGGATCCCTCCGCCAGAGGTCGGCTTCAAAACCGCAGTGATGACGGTGAATTCTGGTGAGCAAGCATGTGCATGTGACTTCTCATCAGTACTTGTGTGAAAGTAAGGATTTGTGCCATTTGGCAGCTGATAGAAAACATCCGCGTTTTAGGGCATGACTCTAAACGTATTTGTACATTTTCATCTTTTATTTGCGTTAGTTTTTATAAATTTTGAGTCAACAGAGCAGTAAATGTGACGGGATACCTCAAACACACACTGTACTGTCTCTGTTTTCCTTAATGTCTGTTTTACATATTGATATTCTGAAATAATAGTGAATTTTTTTCCGTCTCTCAGGATGTCGTACAGTGACTTCCTGCGCGAATTCAGCCGCCTGGAGATCTGCAACCTGACTGCTGACGCCCTGGAGGACAACCAGCTGAAAAAATGGTGCTCTTCGCTTTATCAGGGAGAGTGGAGGAGGGGCAGCACTGCTGGAGGCTGCAGGAACTTCCCAGGTATTGAGTGATGACGGGGAGAAAAGAGGGGAGAACTGCAAGGTAGCAGATGGATAGGTGAAAAAAAACAGTGAGAAACTGGAGGTCTAAATGGTGGTCTGCTATAATAGATATTATATAATATATTTATAATATAAATGTACCCAGAACTTACTCTAATTTCTTTTTCTTTGTACATGTTTGAGATTAATTCTTCTTTTAAATGTCTAATGCACCCCAGAGTTTCTCCTATCACTGACCAAACCAGTTTTAGGATCACATGCTGGTCTTAAATTCTGTTCCAAAAACACTGAACACAGCTTTTACATGTGGACATTTTGTGGGGGAAATAAAAAAACAAAAAACAAGGAGATGTTGAAGGAGGGAGGGATTTCGATGACTTTACTAAAGGAATGTGAACCAGTGACTCCCATTTACACAGTAACCTACTGAACAATGGCCTGTTTTTAAAAGAAATTGGGAAATGCCCCCTCATGACTGCATACACACATGGAATTGGAGTTTTCTCCAACACAAATTGTGTTCTTATTTTCTATACTACTGATAAAACCACAATTTTAACAGCATTATTGACAATCTCTCCAGCTGGGAGAGCTATTTATTATAAGGAAGATATTTATTATTTCTGAGCATGATTAATAAATACCAAAGTAAAGCTTTAATAAAATAAGTAACAATCTGACTTTTTCAACTCTTCTTCCCAGCAACCTTTTGGCTGAATCCTCAGTTCAAGATTGTGCTGCAGCACCCGGACTCTCACAGCAACTCAGACTGCAGCTTCCTGGTTGGCCTCATGCAGAAGGACCGCAGGAAGAAACGGCAGGAGGGCAAAGACATGGAGACCATCGGGTTTGCCATCTATGAGGTCAGCTGCAGTCCAACAAACGCTGCTTATAAACATTTCAGCATTAACAGATTCTTCTTTTGTTAAAAAAGAAGAATCTGAGCTCTGCTATCTACCTGCTTTCCTGTAGTTTTTGTGCCTGATCTTGTTCATCATGGTAATAATGTCATCTGTCTCTCCCCTATCCCTTAAAGGTTCCACATGAGGTATGCATTTTATCATCCTAATAGTCTTCAAATGATACCCAGACATTTTTTAATGCAAACATAATGGGAAGTTAAAGTAGAAGAGTTTTGAAAAGATAAGAAGTCACTCTTTCCCCTCTCAGCATGCCGGCACCTCAGGGATCCACCTGAAGCGAGACTTTTTCCTCACCCACGCCTCCAGAGCTCGCTCAGAGCTCTTCATCAACCTGAGGGAGGTTAGCTCGAGGTTACGGCTGCCACCCGGGGAATACATCATTGTCCCCTCCACCTTTGAGCCGAACAAAGAGGCCGACTTTGTCATCAGGGTTTTCTCTGAGAATCCTGCCAAGTCTGAGTGAGTGGCTAGACACGTGTGAAGGATCTGGGCTTTTAAAATAAGCATTTAAGTAACTTTCTTTATTTCTTCTTCCAATGTCAGGGAGCTTGATGATGATGTTGAAGCGCATCTCCCACCAGAGGTGAGAGGATGCTACATGACAACTGAACTACAACACCTGATGATGCTAATGATGTGTACAGAGAGACCAAATGTGTGTTTGTCTTTCAGGTTGAGCTAAATGAGAGCCAAATCGATGCAGGCTTCAAGGGTCTCTTCAGACAGCTGGCAGGGCCGGTAAGCACGCGTGGCAGAAGGTGGAGTAGCAGTTTGAAGAAATAGTTTATGGTATAAAGAGTCATATTTGAATTGTGTATTCTCTGTTTGTGCCAACAGGACATGGAGATCAGTATCACAGAGCTGCAAACCATACTGAACAGGATCATCAGCAAACGTTAGTAACAGCTGTAACAGTAGTGCTCACAACAGTATTGAGTTAGTTTCAGGTGTTTTTAAAATGTTCAATATCTAGGGTTAAATCTGTTATCCTTCTCTGTTTTTGTCTTTCTTTCTAATGCTAACAGATAAAGACCTGAAGACAGACGGCTTCTCACAGGAATCTTGTCGCAGTATGATCAGCCTCATGGACGTATCCTTTAAATAGCATTAAAATATCAATTCAGCTTTGAAGTCACTTTGGATAAAAGTGTCAGCTAAATAAATGTAATGTTACACAAGTCTTCTTAGCTTTTTAGTGTAAGTAATAAACAAAACAAACTGTCAAGAAATATGTCCCTTACTAAACAGAAAAATACACCTTATGAATTCAAGTTCTATTTTTCCAAACCAATTTACTTCGTTAACTTGCTGTAAAACACACTTCATTCAAACTCGACACAAACTAAATGAAAACTCACCAAAACCTTCGTAGTTAGTCTTTCCACTGTTCCAACAATCACCAACTCTGGTTTGCTCAAAATAAACTCTTAATTCAGAGTTAGATGTGAAAATATTCCTGGCCCTACACACTGTCAGTGTCTCTCTGAAGCCCAACGTCCCTCTCCCTCCTCTCTCACCTGACACCTCTCCGGTCCCCGCCTGAACCATTCGAGCCTTTGTCGTCCGCAGAGTCAGTGTCCTGGCCAGAGCCTCTGTAAATCACATCGGGTTGACAAGTGGAGAGTCCAGGAACCTTTTTAAAGTTGGCTAACAGTAAATTACATTTATTCTGTTGATAAGATGAAAGTCACTGTTGTGCTTTAACCTATCGACTCAGACTGACGGCAGCGGAAAGCTGGGCCTGACAGAGTTCCATGTACTCTGGGAAAAGATTAAACGATACCTGGTAAGATTGAACACTGATGGGTCAGACGGGGTCAGACTAAAGCGTACTGATTCTGCTTCACTGGCCTGGTTTTTACTTTTCTTGTTTGCCATCCAAATACTTACTTCTTCAAGTTATTCTTTTTCTCTTTCTCTTCTTTCTGCCTGTTATTACCTTCATTCTCTGTCTGTTTGTGCCAGAATATTTTCAGGGAGTTTGATGTGGACAAATCAGGCAACATGAGCTCCTATGAGATGAGGCTGGCTCTTAAATCTGCAGGTACTGTTCCTTTTTATGTCAATACAAGAATTAAGAAAATAAAAACATGCGTCAGAGGCATTTTCACTCTTCTTTACACATTTAGAAAGCGTTATCTGCTGAGTTATCTTTTTCTGACGCTGATTACTGTTTTGTGAAACGATTTGTTCCTGTTGTGGTCTGATTTTCCTGCTTGTCTCTTCTTCAGGTTTCACGCTGACCAACCATTTGTTCCAGCTGATCATCCTGCGCTACTCAGAGGCCGACATGACTATCGATTTTGACAACTTTGTCACCTGTCTGATCAGACTGGAGACCATGCACAGTGAGTCCCGCTACTGCACACCTTCAGTGCCTTAAAAGGAACAGTTAACACCTACTTGTCATCCCCTTTCAGAAAATAAATAACATACTTCAATAACAGATCTTTGTTTCTGTCTCTGCAGAAACCTTTCGAACCCTGGACACAAATAATTCAAAATCCATAACCCTCAACTTCACTCAGGTATGGCCACACGTTTCTGGGAGCAGAAATGCTGCCCTTTACCCAGACAATGCATTTATTACAGATTTCTTGTACTTTTGTTCTGAAAACCATTTTTTTTTGTCTCATATTGTTTTGGATATTTACTTTCTGTACATAAAACACTGTGACCTATTCATAATTGGCATTTCCTAATTCTCTGTGCTCCGCAGTGGATTTCCCTGACCATGTTTGCCTAGAGATGAGTGGACTCCTCTGTAACTGTTACACTGCATCCTGTGGCAGCTCCAGGCCCAGCATGTGTCAGAAGTGCCTTTTCTCTTCTCTCCTCCACGCAGCTCGCTGCTGAGGCCCACTGATGCTAAAAGACTGTAAATTCATCTGTACAGTGCCTATATTGGAAACATGTGCCAATTCTTTACTTGTCACCTGTTTTGTAAACAGAGAGTTCACTGATAAGCGAAAAAACATCCTAATAGCTAACATACTTTAGGACAACCTGGCAATCTGCAAAACCCTCTGCTGTCAGTTATCAGTCTCAGTGCCAGATGTGGTTGATGTGGCGAGCTACTGTGTGTGCCAGCTACTCTTAAATGCCTCACATTCAGCGCATATGAATGTGCATTATATGTATCTCTATTATCTGACATTGCTGGCCTGGCACCTTCTGTTTACATCTTACCAAACTTTGCTTTGTCTTCAGAGACAATGGTGGTGGTCAGTGCGTGAAGTATAATTAAACTGCAGTTTTTAAAATTGTATGATGAAAAATGCCAGGTTAGGGGGTATTACCTAATTTAATTGTCCTATTTGCGCTAATGCAAATGTATATTGACCCATGTGAGTTCATTTTTCCAGAGCCGATGCTGCCTAAACGATGTTAGCACTATGCTGTGTTATTTGTCGCATAGAATGTTTTTCGCATGAACAAGTTAGCGCACCAAAGCTTCTGCTTATTCCATTATCTAACGTGTACAAAGAAAATTGAACAAAACCAGAAACCGAGATCGCTGGTCTTAATAAAATAAAAAAAGTAAAATGTCCGCGTTTTTAAAGGTCAATTTAAGGATAGCTAAACTTAATAAATAAACAAAAGGCTTAGACTTAATATTGAACAAAATTCATGATTGTCGTATTCCTGCCACTTAACCATACATTATTTTTATTAAATCGGTAGCCTACTGTGATTCATGTCTATGTAACGTTAATGATTTATCAATTTATTTATTTGATTAAAGCTACTTAATCTTACTTTGGTTGACCGTTAAAGGTTACACATAGTGTTACATCTCGTGATGAGTCTGACTTTTAAAAAGAGTTATCTCCAACTTTGACTTCATTGCACAGGTCTGTTGTCATGACAATAACACTACAACTCTATCCTCATAATGCAGGAACAAGATTAACAGAATTTAGTGTCTTCAACAGCAGTTGTTCCTGCATTACGAGGATAGAGTAGTAGTGTTATTGTCATGACAACAGACCTGTGCAATGAAGTCAAAGTTGGAGATAAATCAACTCTTTTTACCAGTCAGACTCATCACAAGTCAAAACACTATGTGTAACCTTTAACGTTCACCCAAAGTAACAGATTAAGTAGCCATAATCAAATAAACTGATGTATAGGCTATAAAAATTAATCATTACGTAGACTCACAGCACTCTATAATAATTCCAGTGTTTAAGCCAATTTACAGTTTAAGTAAAATAATGTGGTTTAGCCTAATGGCAGAAATACAACAATTATGAATTATGTTCAATATTTAGGCTAGGCTATTTTTAAATTTATTTATTAAGATTAGCTATCCATAAAAATATATATATTTTTTAAGGCGTGATCTGTGTTTCCCGTTTTAGACTTTCTTGTTCAATTTTCATTGTACAAGTTGGATAATGGATCAAGCCGACGCTTTGGTGCGCTAAATTACAATGCACTTCTTCATTCAATGCACCAATAACACAGCATAGTGCTAACATAGTTTAGGCAGCATCGGCTCTGGAAAAATGAACTCACATGGGTCAACATACATTAGCGCAAGTAGGACAATGAAATTTAGTAAAACCCCTAAACTTTTTCATCAAACAATATTAACAACTGCAGATGAATTATACTTCACGTGCTCTATATATTATATTAAAACTAATCCTGTTTAGCTTTAAAGCATATCTGCTTATCATTATGCATGGCACTTTTTACTGACTGGATATCATAGGGGTTAAAAAAAAAAGATGTGTCACCCTTGTTTAATCTAGCTTTTCGAAGGGAACAAGAACATGTCAATACTTTCGGTGAAGGTAAACAATTATGCAAGGTGGATGGAAATGTTGTATGCATGTAGTGTTAAATGTGATATATTGTCTGCCTGTCTGTTCAACCAGGGGAGCAAGTGTTTTATTTGAAAAGTTGTATTCCAAAATAACATGTCACTTTTAGGGGAAAAAAGACTTAAACGCCTTAAGTGTGGAGGATGTACATGTAAAATGTCATACTTACTTACATACATACAAAGAGTCAAACTGCAAATGTTTGAAATACCAAAATTGTTCTGCCAAATATTTTTTTTGCTTTTTGTAAATGGAGGAACTGAATTTAAGAACATTTAATCCAAAAGTGTATGCCAAGCCTTTAAATGTAAATGGTACTCCAACAATGCCAGCAATCATGTCTTCAGTTTTTGCAGTGTAATGCTTATGTAACATTACCTAATGTTTACAATGGTAACATTCAGGGTCCCTTTGGAGCCATTCATGATGCAATACATGGATTTACTGTGTAGTGTCTCTGTAAAACTTTCTTATACAATTTGAAAATAAACATGGGGGGATTTTCATGAGTCTTGCAATCATCAATTTACACTCACTGGCCACTATATTAAGTACACCTTGCTAGTACTGGGTTGGACCCCCTTTTGTATTAAGAACTGCCTTAATCCTTTTTGGCATACTTTCAACAGATAACATTCCTCAGAGACTTTGGTTCATGTCGACATGAGAACATCACGCAGTGTGCTGCAGATTTGTTGGCTGCACATCCATGATGAGAATCTCCCGTTCCACCACGTCCCAAAGGTGCTCTATTGGACTGAGATCAGGTGACTGTGGAGGCCACTGGAGAACAGTGAACTCACTGTCATGTTCAAGAAACCAGTTTGAGATGATTTGAGCTTTGTGATGCATGATCCTGCTGGAAGTAGCCATCAGAAGATGGTACACTGTGGTCATAAAGGGATGGACATGGTCAGCAACAATACTCAGTCAGACCAGTCGTTTTTCCAATCTTTTATTGTCCAGCTTTGGTAAGCCTGTGTGAACTGTAGCAGTTTCCTGTTCTTAGCTGACAGGAGTGCTCCCGGTGTGGTCTGCTGCTGTAGCCCGTCTGCTTCTGGGTTTGACGTGTTGTGTGTTCAGAGATGGTATTCTGCATACCATCTCTGACGCACGAGTCCTTATTTGAGTTACTGTTGCCTTTCTGTCATCTCGAACCTGCCCATTCTCCTCTGACATCAACAAGGCATTTTTGTCCACACAACTGCAGCTCACAGGATATTTTCTCTTTTTCGGACCATTCTCTGTAAACCCTAGAGATGATTGTGCGTAAAAATCCCACTAGATCAGCAGTTTCTGAAATACTCAGACCAGCCCGTCTGGCACCAACAACCATGCTACGTTCAAAGTCACTTAAACCCCTGTCTTCCCCATTCTGATGCTTTGCTTGAACTTCAGCAAGTTGTCTTGATCACGCCTACGTGACTAACTGCATTGATCTGCTATGTTGTGATTGGCTGATTAGCTATTTGTGTTAACAAGCAATTGAACAGGTGTACCTGATAAACTGACCGGTGAGAGTACATTTTCATTGATAAGTCTGAATTTTTTTGTGTGGTTGTGATGAGTAATTCAAAAGAGGAAAAAAGGCTCCCGTCCACACCCCAAAGAACAACACAAACACTCTTTATATAGTAATAAATAGTATATTTAGTAATAACATTAAAAAAACAAGCACAATAAAAGTTCACTATTGTACATATTTCAAGAACATCATAATACGATCTTTACAGGCAGATTTTTACTCATTAAGTTAAATTGCAGACATTTATACAGCTGATCATACATTTTAAGTTAGAACAAAAGCACCTCATTTTAAATGATAACAAGTGAAGAGACGTTTGTCATCTGGAACCGCTCGTTAGAGGAATGTAAGATGTCAGATAAGGCAAGTGAGATAGGCTATCATCTTTTTTTGACCTAGGACTAAACAGCCCAAACTGCACACCTAAATAATAAAGTAAGAGTGATTTTCTTCGGTACAATAGCATTAAATGTGAACCATAACCACTTTTAAGTCTCCTCCAGTTATTGTTAAAGGCTAGCGAGAGTGCTCCTGAGGTAGCGCCTTGGCGTCTCTTAGGCGTAGTTGTTGTTGTTGTGCTCGATCCTGGTCACCATGGTGGTAACCAGGCGCTCCAGCTGTTCCGCTCGCCGGTTGCCCATCTCAAGGACCTCCTCGTGATTGGCCTTCTCCTCACTGTCGTAGTCCATCACCGCCTTGTTGGTGATCAACGAGAGGGCGAAGACACGCATGCCGCAGTGACGCGCCACAATCACCTCGGGGGCTGTGCTCATGCCTGGAGAGGAAAAGAGGCCGTTTAAAATTGATAAAAGATACCAGGATAGATACATATGTGAAAAATAAATAATGTGTATTTTCAGTAGAGAAACCATAAAATATGATGTCACGCCGGCTGAGGTCTGATGTTTATATCAACTGTAGAGCTAAGCTTGCTAATGAGTCCAGCTTTGCTCCCTTCAGTTTAGAAGTCTGTATTTAGTTTTATAGCTTTGATTTATCTCTGTTTGTGGGTGAAGTAAATATGGGCAAATATCAGGTGTATTTTCACATGAAAGTTACATAATGCAGCTTTTAACAGGTACATTTTTATATATATCATTGCTGCCGTGTACTGTAGCCATATATTTTTTATTTTGTGTTGGTGACTAATATTCACTTTTTACTCACCAACTGCATCTGCGCCCAGTTTGAACAGCATACGGGACTCAGCAATGGTCTCGAACGAGGGTCCACCCAGCACGCAGTACACACCCTCCTTCAGGAAGTCTCCGTAGCCGAGCTCCTGTCCCACGTCCATGGCCAGCTGCTGCAGCTCCCTGTCGTAAGCGTCAGACATGCAGGGGAAACGTACACCGAACCTGCGAGGGACAGGAGGAAGGTTTAATGAGGGCAAAGGCTGGAGTAGACCTGAGGCTCAGGGTTTCTTCCAGAAAGACAAGTAAGAGGTATTTCCATAGTGACACTTTCTCTTTGTGGCAGCTGATTTAATATTATTTGCAACATGAACCTGGTGCAGGAAACCCATCTTTGAATGTACAGACTACACACACACACCTTTCATCGTTGGGTCCAGCCAGTGGATTGTTGCCAGCAAAGCCCGGCATGTTGAGGTGGTCTTTGATGATCATGATGTCTCCCACTTTAAAGTCCTGATTGAGACCTCCGGCTGCGTTGGTGAGCATCACCGTCTCCACGCCGAGCAACTTGAAGACACGTATGGGCAGCGTAACCTGGAAACACATTACCATTAGCCATGCAGGGGGATCTTTCAGCAGCGGAACAGTATTTAGAGCATTTTTATGGAAATTTGCTCCTTGATGTAATCAGTTCACCTTCTGGACTGGGTAACCCTCGTACAAGTGGAAGCGCCCCTGCATGCAAACACACGGCCTCCCCTTTAAGGTGCCGAACACGAGCCGACCTGCATGTCCGTGCACTGCAAAAAACACAAACCAATGACTTAATGTCAACAATAAATGAAAACCAGTCAGCAACTGAAAGTTTTTTTTGGTAGTTAAACTCACCAGTGCTCTGTGGAAAGTTGGGGATATCCTTGTAGTTGAAAGCTACCGGGTCCTTTAACATGTCAGCCAGCCCTCCGAGCCCTGACCCGCAAACAATGCCCACTGCAGGTCGTATGTCTGTCTGGGCCAGCAGCCAGTCAGCAGTGGCCTTGCAGTCCTCGTAGCTGTAGCTGGATGACATGAAAAGAGGGTTAGGATGACCCGGTTTGTAAATCAAGCAGGAATCAATAAAAAGCTTTTATTAGATAGAGTTAAACTCATCTTTAAATGACGTGAAAGTGATGTTACAAGAGGATAATGCACAAAAGTGACCACAAGAATTTTAAAAATCTTATGTGCTTTTCCTTCTTTTGCTGTCAAACTCCATAAATGCCAACTTTTTCCAGAGTCCCTATTCACCTCTCTTTGCCTCCTAATTCATTACACAACATGTGATGTGATCATTATTATCAGATTACAGGATAAGATCTAAGATCTAATCTGAGAAGTACTACTAATAAGGATATGACTTTTGAAGGCACACACGCACATTCCTGCAGAGTCACAGCAGGATCATGCCTCATGAACTTGAATGGTGACATGGTGCTTTTTTATCTGCTCAGTTGAAATGTACACACTAATCCCTTGTAATTTGAATAATCCCTTTAATTTGACAAACTGCTAGATTCACCCTCACTTAAGCATGGATTAATGGTTTGGTCCCTAAAGATGTGCTATTAATAAATATACTCTGTAAAACTACAGATAACTGTATGGTGCTTTATTAACACCATACAGTTAAAGTCACCACATACTGCCACATAACAGGTTATTAATAATAGTTTAATCAGAACAAATGTCCTGTCCTTAAAAACTGTCAAAGACAGTTTAATTCCACGAAAGGCTTATCTAATGTTTATTTGGCCCCCAGCCAACATTCCCAGTACGTTTTTGACCGGCAGTCCAAGCTGCTCATGAAGGGGTCTTGTGTTCAGCGTCTGGTTTAGCAGCATGGGAAGAGGAAAGCTGAAAGTACAGTCTGTTCAAAAGTGTACTCACCCGCTCTTTGCCTCTGGAAACATTGGGAAAAATTGTATAAGTTTCTGGTGAGGTAAAAAAAAATAAAAAAGTAGTAAATGCACAAGTTCCAAAGCAGCAAAAACGTCGAATCAGCTGTTGAAAATGTCAAATAGTATCAAGCCGGTGTCTTCTCTAGTGTTTCTTGTTCTGGTTTGGAGTACCCTTTGAGTCTTCTTCCCACTTGTGATTGCAAGCCGCAGTTGCCGGCTATATTATAGCCCCAGAATACGCCCTAACCCCCCCCACCCTACCCCACCCCTGGGTCAAGATGACGCATGTGAATGCTGCAGCCTCATTGGCTGGGTGGACACACCTTCAAGTAATTTGCAACAAAAGGCAATATATTTCATCCACCCGCCTCCAGAAGCAGTACTAGTGTTGACATCAGCCAAGTCCACCAACAGGAAAGTATGGGCACTGAAACATCCATTCAGCAATCATTGATCAGCTTATTGTAGAGTGACCCAGGTTGGGAAACATTTTGTTTTGAACATCACGTGTCTGTCTGTTGCGCCTGTTCTCGCCAAAAGTTAGTGGATATAGCATAACATGTGAAGTCAACGCATGCTACCATGTAGCCTAACATACTGGAACTACCTGAGTACAACTTTGAGGTGCTCACTTCAGTATTTTCTGTTTTAGGCAACTTTATACCTCTTCTCCTTTACATAATAAAATAAGTTACATCCTGATGTGTGTTTTTGCTCTTGTTGCCAGTAAGACATAGTAAGTTCATTGACACACCCTGTTTATGATGTAAATGAGGCAGATTACAACTCATTAAGTCAGAAATAAACACTACATCCTTTTGATTGGTTCTTTAAGGCTCCACGTTGTACTCATGGGACTAGAGCCTGACATTTTGGGTATCATGTAGGTCACAAGATTCCTGTGAGAACAG